CTTGTTTCCGTTGTGTTGCGACTTGTTTCCATTGTGTTGCAACTTGTTTCCGTTGTGTTGCGACTGGTTTCCATTGTGTTGAAACTTGTTCCTGTTGTGTTGCGACTTTTTTCCGTTGTGTTGCAGCTTGTTTCCGTTGTGTTGCAGCTTGTTTCCATTGTGTTGCAACTTGTTCCTGTTGTGTTGCGACTTCTTTCCGTTGTGTTGCAACTTGTTTCCGTTGTGTTGCAACTTGTTTCCGTTGTGTTGCAGCTTCTTTCCATTGTGTTGCAACTTGTTCCTGTTGTGTTGCGACTTTTTTCCATTGTGTTGCGACTTGTTTCCGTTGTGTTGCGACTTGTTTCCGTTGTGTTGCGACTTGTTTCCGTTGTGTTGCGACTTGTTTCCGTTGTGTTGCGACTTGTTTCCGTTGTGTTGCGACTTGTTTCCGTTGTGTTGCGACTTGTTTCCGTTGTGTTGCGACTTGTTTCCGTTGTGTTGCGACTTGTTTCCGTTGTGTTGCGACTTGTTTCCGTTGTGTTGCGACTTGTTTCCGTTGTGTTGCGACTTGTTTCCGTTGTGTTGCGACTTGTTTCCGTTGTGTTGCAGCTTATTTCCCTTGTGTTGCAACTTGTTCCTGTTGTGTTGCGACTTTTTTCCGTTGTGTTGCGGCTTGTTTCTGTTGTGTTGTGGCTTGTTTCCGTTGTGTTGCGACTTGTTTTAGTTGTGTGGCATTTGTATCGCGATGCATCATTTCTATGTTCTAACATATTTGCATCGGTAAAAAAATATTTATTTATATATAATTACTAGTGGATGCGCTATACTTTTATTATTTAGAAAGTGACCAATATTTTATATGTAGATTGATTTCTCCTCTCTAAACTGTTCTCAAGCGTGTTCTCTGCACCACTTCTGCTGCGTAAATATGACGCATCACAACACCACGGAGACCTTAGGAAAAGCGGGGATTAAAGTCCAAAACATGACTTGAAATAACCTAACAGATCAATCGGGGCTAAAGAGGTTCCATAAACAACAAATTAAGTTCACACAATCTCACACACAATCTCACTAATTTGTGCACGCTTATTCTTAAGCACCCCTTAATGTCGATCATAGATCAAATCGATCCACCATGGCTAACAGCAAATATATCTGCACTGTTTAAAGCATTCGAGACGTTGTGTTCTCCTCAGTGCATAACAGACATGTGTGTCACAGGTATATTCTTCATCTGTAAATATTAGAAAGTCATGCAAACATATACATTTTGCTGTCAGGAGTGGGTGAGGCTTACGCGAGAGCAACGAGCGCTGCGGCGCGCATGAACGCTAAACAGACAGAGCGCAATCGAATAGGAGTGCAATAATTCCGAGTAAAATTTATGTCAAAACATTTTGCTAAAATATTTGTTGTTGGACATTAAATGTGTCTTTTGTAGAATTTTAAACCTACATATAAGTGTATTTTTATGATAGCAGTAACTGTAAAGGACCTATTGTAATAGGTAATTCAAATGTAAGCTATTAAAGTGTGTGTTTCTTATAGCAGTTAAAATATAGTCATTTGCTTTATTATTATTTTCATTTTTAATTAAGTTATTTTAACTTTTAATTTAGTTATTTTAATGATTTAAAAAGCAATTTAGATTGTAATGTTCTAATGTTCTGCTATCTGTTCTGCAAACTATAAATGGTACAGCCAGAGCCAATCCTCCCTATACGCAAAATACGCAAGCTGCATAGGGCCCACAAAACACCAGGGGGCCCCCTTGCTCTCAAAGATGATTTAATTTTAGTTTCGTTTTTGAATTTGGCCAGCGGTTATGAAAACATGAATGATCATTTCTTTTAATGCGGTGCGCTGTCACCCTTTCTATGTAAAAATCTGTCAAATCATGTAATGGAATGTCGTACAGTCTTGCTCGAGACTAAAAAATGAGTTGAAAGTGTACCGGGCAGCGAAAGAGACTGTTTCTCGAGCGCTTTCCGCGAGCGCGATTCGAGACAGAGTGAAACGCGGACAAATGCGTTTCATTCATTCGTTCATAACCACTCATACCCCATTCCAAAATCGGATCACACTGCATCGTAACAGGGGTGAATCGTATCGCATCGCATCGGATCGGTAGCTGCTTCATATGTATCTTTAATGTATCGTTAGCTATGCATCGAGATGCGTATCGTATCGGCCTGAGTCATGAGATGCACATCCCTAGTACAAATACATTTTGGAGCCTGCTGTAAAATACTGGGCCTCATTCGTTCTCAATGAGGAGCAGAACAAATGAGTGTAAAACGTTCGTAAAACCATCTTGTGCAAATTGTTCCACTAAATAATTTAAGAATAATTTTACAAAAAATGTACATAGATAATCATTCTGCTCATGTTTGCTAAATGAAGCCCACTGTGCGCATCTTGAGGGAATCATTTATTTGCTGAGAAATACTCTTCTCACTTTCCAAACCACACTTTGAAAGGATCCTCGCTGTATCTTGATAGGCCAACACCTTTCAATTTAGATGAAGCACCAGCAGGATATTTTAAAAAGGGCCCGTGGACGGAGATGTCAGATGTCACACCATGCTGTGTGTCCTTTCTGACATTCTGACAACGTTCTATAAGAAGGGAGAGTATGGGGAAAATTGCAAGGAAATAAACCTTCAGGCAGCAAAGAAGCCCCTCTGAATCTCTTAGATAAGTTATCGTCCTACAGTAACCCCGGTTTTGCAGAACTTTCCTAATAAAAGTTTAAATCATACAGAGATCCTAATCTGTCACATACCTCTTGTCTCTAGGCCAATACCGCATGCCTCTGCGGGCCCACCCACAGCCTGCCTCACCGAATCAGCTACCAGAATGCACTGATGCCAGCGGTGGGTCTGCCATCTGCCAGGAAACATCAGTGCACAGAAAACATGTTGCGGTGTCTGGCTTACATCCAGTGATACCTTATGAACATTTTGTATTTTATTGGCACATCTAGTAGTGATACACATTACCATGTTTAAAGGGGTCATATGATGCGATTTCAAGTTTTCCTTTCTCTTTGGAGTGTTACAAGCTGATTGTGCATAGATGAAAAAAGAAAAAAAGAAAGTACACGTACTTATTTAATTATTTTACATATCTATTGTTGTTTTGTTTATGTATTATATAATTGTTTATTCATGTAATGGACAATGCTTTGGCAATACTGTGCAAGAGAGAGGGGGGGTCACATCACAAACACATACCAGCTTCATCACTTTGTTGTCTGTCACGCGACTCTGTTCCCCTTTCGGGCTCTGTCTTTACATTTATTTTGAAAGATGAAGCTCGCGATTATGGTAAGGGGCGTTACATTTCCGACGAGTGCTTGCGGTGTTCAGCCAATCACAATGCACTGGGTCAGCTGTCCAATCAGAGCAGACTGCGCTTGTCGGAAGGAGGGACTTTGTAGAAAATGAAGCGTTTGAGAGAGGCGGGGCATAGAGGACCTACAATAATGTACAGCATTTGAAAAATAATGTGTTTTTTGAACATTAAAGCATGTCAACATATTCTGTTACACCAAATACACAAAATAATGATCTTTAAAAAAGCATCATATGACCCCTTTAACACCACATGTTTGATTACATTTGGGTATTTTTCTGTCTTAAAGGACAGGATCTTAAAAAATGCTCTAAACATTTTAAAGGGTACTTTTTAAAACTTTATTTATTTTTTATATGAATTGTTTTTCCTAATTTTTAAGAATATTCTAGTTTCAACTAAACAAAAAAATATAAAAATGAGAAAAATCATATTTAAAGTTCAGTTTGCATTTATGTATACACAGTTTGGATTTTTCATGACAACAAATCACTTATAAGCTACTGATGATGATATTAAGTTTTTTACACCAGATTTTTACATCATGATCTATATGTAGCTTTGTTGTACACTATTAATCAAAATGTATGGTTTTATTAAATTGATCAAAGGTGAAAGTAATAACATTTATAGCATAACAAAATATTTCTATTTCAAATAAATGTTGTTTTTTAACTTCCTTTCATTAAAGAATCTTGGAAAAAATGCATCACAATTTAAAATAAATAAATAAATACAATGAAAAAAAAAAAAAAATTTAAAAAAAGGGAAAAATACTAAGCAGCACAACTGTTTTCAAACCTGATAATAATAAGAAATGTTTCTTGAGCATCAAATCAGCATATTAGAATAATTTATGATCATGTCACACTGAAGACTGGAGTAATGATGCTGAATTTAGTATTACAGGAATAAATCATATTTTAAAATATAGTAAAATAGAAAACAGTTATTTTAAATTATAAGAATATTTTACAATATTACAGTTTTTTTACTGTATTTTGATCAAATAAATGCTGCATTGGTGAGCATAGGAGACTTCTTTAAAAAAAAAAAAAAGTTACCAACACCAAACTTTTGAACAGCAGTCTATGAACTTTGAAACAACAACACCAAACAGTCAGCATATAAGAAATATGATTCATTTTATTTTGTATATGTTGTAAATGTTTGTATATCTTGTATACAACATTGTTGACTGCTAGATAACTTGTTGGGTCTTTCCAGGCTTATCCAACTTTTTTGCCATTTATCATAAACATTCCAATTATGAAATAATTTCTCTCTTTACCTGTAAGTTGGGCACAGTGGGGGTGGATCACATTCTCTCTCCTCAAAAAGAGTATCGGGGCACTCTTGACCTCCATTAGCAGGTCTCTGGATGATGATCCTGTGACGGGACTGGGTTGGTGCAGTAGCATTTACTAGAAAAACAAAGAAATCCACAGTATTGAGAGATAAAACATGAAGTTCAAACTTGTCAAGTTTTGTCTGGTTAGGACATGCTGTTGGGGACAACAAGTTTACCTGATAAACAGGAAGTGGGACAGGCACTCCATTCGCTAAAAGGTGTGACGATGCAATCAATTTTGCAAGGTAAAGGACAAGACCGGATTGAGTCAGGACGAGAGGATTCAGGACACCTAAAATATATTCCAGTATGAGACTACCTGTATGGTGTTCTACACAGAATTTAGGATAAAAGATTTTGAGGTTCCTTACCGTTTTGGCAGCACATGTCCATTCCCAGCTCTCCTGCATGTGACTTGGCGCATCTGTACCCCTGTACCGCAGGTGGCATCATTCTCCATCTGCGGAGTTGTGCTGTTACCTTCACTCTCGTCTGTGATGGTGTTTGGCATACAGGGATCCCAAGGTGAAGTATCCCAGTAGTATACTGTGCATGAGTGTGAGCCACAGGGTCTCCACTGCTCCAGCTTAGGGGCCGGAGGGCATGGCTTTCCATCTATAACCAGAAAAAAAGGTATTTTTTACACCCCAAACCGGCCAATATAGCAACAACTACTGTGCAATTATTTATAACTACTGTGCACTAAAAATACTGCACATTGATTTAATATGGCATCATCGAGTAATTTATTAGCCATCCAGAATATTATTATACTGTATATACATATCGATCATTAGCTGTGCATATTCAACAGATTCATATATCACACTGTCTATATACATATTCATAGTTTGGAGGTCAGTAAGATTTAAAAAAAAATGTATTATTACTTTTATTCAGCAAGGACATTCAATTATTCAAAAGTGATACAAACGCTGTTCTTTTAAACTTTCTATTCATCAAAGGATCCAGAAAAAATGTGTGATTCACAGCAGCAAATTAGCATATAAGAATTATTTCTGAAGGATCATGTAACACTGAAGCCTAGGGTAATGAATGCTAAAAATTTTTTTTATTATTCTGTGAATAAATTACATTTAAAATATAAAAATAAACATTTTAATGACTATTGCAATTGTAATATAATTAAATATAACCGTTTTTGCTGTATTTTTGATCAAATAAATGCAGCCTGGGTGAGCTCAAGATTTTTCTTTAAAAAAAGGATTTTTAACAAAATGTATAAATAACGTGTATACACACACCCACACATATATAAGGATGGAGGGCCATCTGTTTGAGGGGTCAAACAAAGGATATGTCCCTGGTGAATGTGTCATAAAGAAATAATCTATAATTCATGGGAAAGACCTGCTTTATGGGGACCAGCATAAAAGAAGGGGATGGCAGGACAAAGACTAATAGAACATCATTTTAAAATGGGGATTAGAGGTTTGGACTCAGGGCAAATCAGTTTAAAAAGAGGCATTTGAATAATTAAATGGAAAGAGTCTCAAAGAAGGGCTTTAATAAAGCCCAGTATGTGAGGGCTGCTGTACCCAGTTTTTCTGCAACAGCTGGAAGTGTTACATTTCCAAGACGTTTTCATAATTTGTGCTTTGTGTATTTATTATTTATCCTCTTTGAGTGTTCTCAAAACTTGACAAGACATAACCATATCATCATCATCTTTACCATAATGAAAATGTGATGTGCATGAAATTCTGAGCTCAACTTGTGCCCTAATCACTTGGCCTGGTATCTTATTTATGCTGCACAAACCAAATGCTTGTGAACCAAATGTTCAATCCGAACTCACACTTTCCAGGAAGAGCCAGAACAAGACGTGAGCGACTTTGTTTTCCCTCTTGGTGTTTACTGGAGCAGGACTGGGAACAGGAAGTCCAGGGGCTCCAGTGTCCCATTACACAGTCCCCAGGACAGGGCATCTCACATGTCTGCCGGACTGGAGGAGGATCTCCTAAACACTGATCATTAGGGACTGGATCACCTATAATGCAAAGAGGAAAGCAGACATTTCTGTTAAATGCATCTAATCAGGAAAAAAAAAGTCCCTTTTCTCAGTGTTTTTCTTTTTTTTTTTTTATATCGACATACTGTATAATGTTTTATACTGAATAATACTGCATAAATCTTTTCCCATTTTCTTTTTTGAATAACACTTATTCTTTCCCTATAAACAAGTATATTTAATTAACATCTTCTTCGAATACAAGCAAAGGAAATATGCAATTAAATGTACTGCCAAGAAACAAAATAAGAACATTGAAATAATGATCATGGCTTGTTTTAAGCACAGGAAAATTCCGGTTTCCTCATCATGCACCTAACAATCACTTTTCTTTAATTAAAGTAGAATAATATGCAAATAAGATGTTTAATAGCACTCTGATTGCTCTATTCTTTTCTCAAAGACCACGATTCGACAACATTAAGGCACTTTTTAAATGAACAGACAGCTTAAAAATAATTATCTGATAATTAAGGGTGCAGTAAAACATTAGCGCTAAACTTCACTCAGTTCACTATGGAAAATACTCTAAAGAGTCCTAACTGCTTCACTGCAAAATAAATAAATAAATAAAAATAAATACCAAGAAGGAAAGAACATTTCAGTGGCAATTTCATAAGAAGGAAAGAACATTTCAGCTGCGATTTCTTATTTTTTTAAACATTAATCTCACTAAATGTTGTTAGTTTTATGCTTAAAATGGGGAAAAATCAGTCCAAGGCATAATTATAAAAAGTAGGCTCAGCTTTTGCTTGTAATGAGCATAATTTTAACCACATTTATTTGAGTAAATGTTTTGAACAAGAAAAAAGAAAAGAAAATAAAGTTACATTTTTAACTTCTAACTCAGTGAGGAAAGATCAACTCGCATATGCAAAACAATCTCACAGATCTTTTTATTTGTGAGATTGGAAAGAACAATGGACACATATACGCAAGCACAGAATCAACTAGTAGAACATGCTCTTCAGGTTGTTTGTGAGAGAAAAGAACAAATATAAAAGGCGAGTAATAATCCTAACTGGTCTGGACAGACTCTCCTCTGAGAATCAGATATTGAGCCGCAATAGTTCATTTCTTCATTACATCTCAGATGCAGGAAGGGCAACGTTTCTCCAATTGATGTTAGGCCTTAAAAATCAATCTCTCTGAACTGTATTCGTTGCCTAAGATATAAATGCACAAACAGAGCTCTTTTTTAAAGAGACTGTCTCATCTGAAGATGCACAGCTCTTAATATGTATTTTTATGACCCCTGTAATCACCACTTTCCTGTTGCGTTATAAGGGTTTATTTCATTTTCTTTTCACATGGCAGACAGGGAGATTTTTTCACCTATTTTTACTGTTAGAAGAAGCAATTTCCCAGAGTGATTATCTACCTAGAGCCTTAAAAAGTGCATTATAGCACGCCAGAACTGCAGGACTGCTGATAGACAGCAGAATTCAATAGCATGCTACTTCATAAACATCGAACTTGCAGTCAGATCACAGAAACTGGAGGGATAACTTTTGTAAATGAAGCTATGAACCATGTCTGGCCATTGCAAAAACTACACTTTGAGCTTTTTGCTAAGACCAATAAGCAATTTCCTATAGCAACCATTCAACATTGAATAGCAAATGCATAGTAATGTGATCAAAACTAGCACACACACACGCACACACACGCACACACACGCACACACACGCACACACACGCACACACACACACACACACGCACACACACGCACACACACGCACACACACGCACACACACGCACACACACGCACACACACGCACACACACGCACACACACGCACACACACGCACACACACGCACACACACGCACACACACGCACACACACGCACACACACGTCTGTGTGGTTCCTAATGCCCCAGTATAGTGACGGGGACACTTTACTGTAAAAAGCACCGTCCTTCGGATGAGATGTTAAACCGAGGCCCTGACTCTCTGGTCATTAAAAATCCCATGGCACTTCTCGTAAAGAGTAGGGGTGTATCCCCGTTGTCCTGGCCAAATTGCCCCCCTGGCCCTTCCCAGGTGAAAAAGAAATACATTTAAATTGTGCTTTTTCAGACATACTTACTATATTTAAATTATACTATACTAAGGGCATATTAAATGTATTATTTTGAAACAACTTTAAGTATATTAAGTGTATTTCAAGATATGTTTAAGTTGGATGTTTCTTGAGCAGCAAATCAGCATATTAGAATGATTTCTGAAGGATCATGTGACACTGAAGACTGAAGTATATAAATGCATCATTCATTCATTCATTCATTCATTCATTCATCATTCATTCATTCATTCATTCACTCACTCACTCACTCACTCACTCACACACACACACACACACACACACACACACACATATATATATATATATATATATATATATATATATCATACGGGATTGTACTTTATCATCATGGCAGTACAGAAACCCCAACTAAATTTTCATCAGAAAATGTAAAAATCTAGTGTATGATTTATAAACTCACATTGAACAGCTGGGATGTTCAGTTTTCTTTTTTATCTAATGTTATTGTGGGAACAACTCAAATCTCCAGCAAGAATACATTATCACATTAAGTCAGCTGCACTTCAGCTTTAATGGCTTTGGCATTTCAGCTTCACTTTGCATTTTGTAGAACATTCCAAGTGCATGCTGGGAAGATGATGCTGTCAGGTTTAATGCAGATATGTATGTCGGATGTAAAATTCCAGCTCCACCGCATCCAGCCAGAAGCGGATAGTAGTGAAGTATTTTTACTTTACTCAAGTAAATTTAAAAAGTATCTGTAGTTTATCAGAGTGGTTTTCTTTGGAAAACTTTACTTCACTGCATTCCAAAGCATAATGTCATACTTTTTACTGCACTTCCTTTCATAAAAGTTGTTGTTTGTTTTACCTTTAATACTTAAGAACATAAAAAATGTAGTACTTTCTTGTACTCAAGTAAATCTTTGAATTACTTTTACTTGAGTAAAAGTAAGAAAGTAATAGATTACTAATGTAATTAAGTATTAAATGATATTTAATATGAAACGTAGTGCAGTAAAAAGTACAATATTATGCTTTGGAATGTTGTGAAGTAAAGTTGCATCCAACTCTGCATCCAGCCATGCCTGACGACTGCCTAGCCACAAACGGACATATTTCACATACAGTTGTAAACCCCTTAAGACCACTTACATACTTACTACTGTTGGACAACACACATGCTGGCACTTGATGTGAATGAGTGACATTACAATGAAAGACCTTAGAGGACACCTAAGGCTCCTAGGCAGTTGTGTGTCAAAACTGCATCTCAAACTCATCTCAATGAGAAGCACAGAATACAGATAAGAAATATGCCACATACCCGCCGGGAGGAGAGGAGATTAAAAGATAGCTGATCATTTGCTTATGTGAGTAAAAATAACTAATCGCTGAAGAGTTTGAGGATGGGGATAACAGAAGGTTGAAAGTAATTAGAGGGATGAAGGTGAAGAATGATGGGATTGAGAAAGATAATTAAAGGGATAGTTCTTTAAATGCTGTCCTTATTTAATTACCTTCATGCAGTTTTTCAGAATGATTTTTCTTGAGATTTTTTGCAAAATGTCTACAATGCCTATGTTTGGGGTCAGTAAGATTTTTAAATGTTTTTAAAATAAGTTTAAGGCTACATGTTGATTTGTTAAAAAATACAGTAAAAACAGCAATATTGTGAAATATTAACACAATTTAAAATAAATGTTTTGTATTTTAATATATTTTTAAAATGCAATTTATTCCTGTGATGCAAAGCTGAATTTTCAGCATCATTACTCCAGTCTTCAGTGTCACATGATCCTTCAGAAATCATTCTGTTAGGCTGATTTGCTGTTCAAGAAACATTATCAATGTTGTAAACAGCTTTTCAAGATTCTTTAATCTAAATAGAAAGTTCAAAAGAACAACATTTATTTGAAAAATAAATGTTGTAACATTAGAAATGGTTAAAAAGTTAATGGTTCCTTGCTGAGTAAAAGCAAAGAACAACATCAACAATAACAACAAAAAATCCTATTGGCACCAAAACTCTAATTGGTAGTGTATGGGGGATGTTAGGCTCCAAAAATGACAACAAACAATATACAAGTATAGCCCATAAAGCATAAAAGTGGCACATTTGCCTCACTATATTCTTCTGAAGCCATACAATTGTTTTGCTACTTCCTGAAAACATTCTCATTTGCATACATTCAAATATGGCATCTCAAGACTCAGCACACCAGAACTGATGTCAGTTACATCAAACGTCATTGGTCCTTTCATAATCAATCAGGTCATTTATTTTTTTATTTTTTTTATAGGAGCTGTAAAAATACTGATTTTAGCATATAAAATGCAAAAAAGATTGTATGTAATGATGTACATATTGTTACAACATTTATGTTTAAAAGCCTGGCAACATAACATTTTAATGACATGAAATATACAAATCATATGGACTGCATGACACTTTTAGGGTGCTTTTTTTAGTTTCTTTGTATGGAAAAGAGCATATTGGACATTCTACAAAGTGACTCCTTTTGTGTTCCATGAACGAAAGTAAGTCTACAGGTTTGGAATGACATGACGGTAAGAAGATAATGACAGACTTTTCAGTTTTAGGTCAACTGTTAAGGAAACAGTAAGCTGCATACCTGTGGCGATCAAACACTCCAGAGTCTGTTCTTGGAATCCTGGGCCACACGATCCATTTTGTGAAACACAGGGCCCCTGCGATGTCACTTGCCACTGGAAGAAGACGGGGTCATCACAGGTCATCGCTTCGCTGACGTGAGGGCAACTGTCAGACTCCACCCAAGACTCATTAATTACAGAACGAGCTCTCACCCTGAAACCTGTAGGTGAGGTGTACGCATGCAAATTAACAAAGGAAAAGAACTATCAGCGATGACTCAAACAGAAACATTCTCAATGCCAACATTTTTACAGATACTGTTCCCACACTCTGGCAAAATAAGCAGCGCAACAGTCAAATATCGTGGCCAAATATATATGCACATTAAGGGATAGAGAGAAGAAATAGAAAACGGAATATAAAGAAAAAGGCATTTATAGCGAGTCTAAATAGAGGAATACAGCTGTCCCGTCACTGTTGCCTCACTGAGTAGGCGGCACCACAGCTTAGGGTCAGAAATACGCCACATCTGATATTCACACATGATTTACATTACTGAGAGAAGAAACCAAGGACAGAGTGTGTGATTTAGATTTGGATGTGTGCGATCTGGTTTGATGGGATGTTTTCGTCTCTCACCTCTTCTTCCTTGAGGTTCCAAACAGTTGTCATGGAGACAGGGTCCCCAGGGTGACCAAGGCGTGAGGGGACAATGTTTCTGACAGGGAATGAAGCAAGACTCAGCCAATAGCGGTAAAGGCACAGTGCACAAGTTCCTGCCAACAGGCCGATTGACTAATAATAAAAAACAGAGAGAGATTTACCATAAAAAGTGGTTTATTTTCTAAACTGTATGAAATGCATTTTTAAAGATCTAACAGAAGCTTGCACAAAAATAAATGTAATTCAAATCCGTCTTTCTCACTGTGTGGCCACAGATTACCATTTAAATCAAAGAACAGAAATGCAGAGGAAACTAAATCTCCCCCTTAGCCTTGTGCCCTGAGACTCAACAGCCAATGACGGATTAAATAAAATGAAATCAATCTAGAAAATCTTTTTGCCCCACAACATTTGCTTATTGTAACGCGAGATGGACATATTATTAAAAACCAAAAAATCATCCTCATTGAAATGGAATCTTATAAATGACTTGGATCGCGCTTCATAGGCCACAAATTTACACTCTTCTTGTTGCTAAGCTATCAACACAATACTCTAATAAGCATAAAACTATATAATACACACAATTACTAGGTAGAATTTTGCAATTAGGTTGAAACCTTTTTATCAATACATGTTTGTACTGAATGACACATACGTCTAAACAACTAAACTTGACTTTGTTTGCCACTGAGCTTATTTCAATGCATACTAGAATCGACTTCTTTGTGAATGATACAGTAAAACATTAAAAAGTTTGGTGTCTGTAAGATTCTTGAATGTTTTTGCTCATTAAGGCTGCATTCATTTAAAAAATACAGTAAAACAGCAATATTGTGAAATATTATTACAATTTAAAATAATTGTTGTTCTATGTTAATATATTTTAAATTGTAATTAATTCAATTTAAATTTTCAATATCATTACTCCAGTTTTCAGTGTCACATGATCCTTCAGAAATCATTCTAATATGCTGATTTACAAAATACATTGTGTATTATCAATGTGCTGCTTAATATTTTTGTGGAAACTTTGATATGTTTTAAAAAGAAAAAAAAGTAGTGCACGTGTGATGCTACCTAGTCATCTTGGCTCAAGAATAGGCTGATATCAAATAATACTGTGATACTACCATTGTACAAAAACTAAATGTAATCTGAAAACATAACTCAATGGTATTTCTATGTTAATAATCCATAGCTGACTCTAAAAACAGAGTTCTTACTTTGGGATGGTACTGTGTTGTCATGGATCCTGACACAATATGCCTCTCGGGTCCGGATCCCACGTCCACACAGAATGCTGCTATTGTTATGGCGATGGTCCTGCTGACTCAAAAGTGGGGTCACCTGGCATGGTTTCCAATTGGTCACCCTCCACTCAAACCTGTATTTCCAGCAAATTAAAATACATTAATTTGAAGTCAAATTAAAGAGTCATCTATTCAGTCTTTTCAAAGTCACAATGAAACTGAAGTAGCAACATATCTTTTCTTCTATATTGTAACATAACTCCAAGCTAAACGGATTATCAAAAAAAAAAAAAAAAATGTAGAGTAACATTTGATTCAAAGTTATGTGGTCAATTTTTTTAAGAAATTAAACAGGCATGGAGGAATCATTCACAAAGTCATGGTGAATTATTTTTTAATGTTGAGTTTAAGAACTACAACATTTGAAAAGATTTGGATGCACAATTCTGGCAATGCTGTCTCTTTACCTTGGGCACAGTGGCAGAGTGTCTTCCAAAACATTACAGTTTGCTTTTTCCTCCAGGGCGGGGCATGGCTCTCCTCCACCAATGGCTGCTCTCTCCAGGCTGCGGCTCCTGATTCTGAAGCCAGGCGATTGGTCAGATGTCCGACACGTCTTTGAACATGGACTCCACTGTGACCAATCAGACACTTTACAGTCTCTGGGCATCACGCATGAACGAAAGTTCACTGGGCTGTTGTCATGGTCGCAAAGACTGGGGGTGAGAAGGAAATTTACAGTGTCATCTTTTTTTACCGCATTTTTATGACATTGTAAAATGAAGAATTGTATTGCTGTAAAAAGATGCTTGATACTGTATTTTGTGTCCCTCTGCTGCCCTTTACTGGGTTAACTGGCAGGTTGAGCTCTCCTCTATCCATCTTTGATATATATAAAAAAAAAACACATTACAATTCTAAAAATTACATTAACAGTTACTGTTTAGTTACTTTCAAAGGATTTCATGTTTATGTATTACCTTAACTTAAAAAAAAAAGGCTTAATCTGCCTGTTCTGGAGCTGCTGGCATCCATTTAGCCTCTGGCTAGTATGACAAAAAAGGTAGCAACATAAACAGAACATTTTTCAAGCTGTCTCTCGAACTCTCCAAGGCTTTAGTGTTGCTGCTGATTCTCGGTGACTATATTGGCATACAAAACAAGCGAAAGCAAACTATGAAATCCTGCGAGAGAGAGAGAGAGAGATGAGGTGGTCCGTGGGTGTTCAATTTATTCAGAAGTTTAGTCTGGCTTAATACGAATGCGAAAAAGTTTGCAAACCGCAAGGGGAATCTTATAATCTGAAGACATCAAATTATGTTAATTTATTACGTAGACAAATAAAGACTGGTATTAGCATCTTATTGTTGGTAACACTATTGATGCTTGCTGCATAGACAACAAAACATCTCTTGCAGGTGATTGCAAATGTGCTTGTTTTAGAGTTGACACTGACACTGAGAAAACATTAGTGGATTAGTTAAATAGGGGACCACAAAGTGCTAATCTTCAGTATACTATTATAAAGGTATTAGTCATAAAATAGAAAGCAAAGAATTAGATTGAATAATATTGCAGTGTTTCACTGGGATAATGAGTTTGATACGCATGGGAACTCGTTTGATACGATAATGGGAATTAAAACACATCCCACTCAGGTGGGATATTTTAATTCAGATTTATATGGACATTTTTAAACCTTAAAGGGCACCTATTATGCAAAATTCACTTTTCCATGTTGTTTGAACATAAATGTGTATTGGCAGTGTGTGTACACAACCACCCTATAATGATAAAAATCCACTCTCTGCTTTTTTAATTCCCATAAATCATAATCAGTATCTCAGAACAAGCATTTGCAGAATCTGTACAATGTGACGTCACATTTTACAAGCCCCACCCACGACTGTTGACGACAATGCTGTATTAGCAGAGACTAGTGATGGGAAGTCTGGTTCTTTTCCGCGAACCGATTCTTTCGGACAGTTCGTTTCAATGAACCGGTTAAAAAAACCGGTTGAGAACCGCTCCAGCAGTGGGCGTGTACGTTCATTATCCGGCTTGCTGCACAGATGCTGCTCTGCTCGTGTTCATCTCTTCACAGCAGTTCAGTCAGTGTACTGTTTGAGTAAATTAATTACTCCGGGATATTGGTTTATTTCGAATCAGAGGGAGTGTCAGCCACGTTTAAAAAGTGAATAACTTAAGTAATTTGTGGATTAATGCTTACACTTTTCAACGATTCAGTCCGATTTGGTGAACTGGTTCAACCGGTTCACTAAGAAGAACTGGTTAAATCGAACGATTCGTTCGCGAACCGGACATCACTAGCAGAGACCCCGCCCTGAGTGAGCCGCACACAATCCGCCATGTTTTTCTTCACACTAGAGCATTTTAAATCAGCATTCAAGTAAGAAATGTCTTTTTATTAGAGCTACAAAAATTATTCACTAAAGAGCAGTGAGTGACTCTGTTTTTATTTTGTTTGGATCATATTATCAGCATAGACAGCAGTATAGGTACTGTATATTACGCTGCCGTCACTTAATACACAGATCTGATATTCTTTCCCAGCTGTTTACCTTCACAGACATAACTGACTGTGTTTTTGTAACTTATGAATTTTTAACATAAACTTGTGAGTATTTGACAGTTTAAGCGCAATAAGACATGAAAGAGAACTTAGTGTGACAGAGAACTTTGCTTTGGATGTGTGCGCTCAGAAAACCGTATATCAGAAGTTTAAACTACTATGGTTTAAAACACATGATTTCAGCACAATAGATATGATAATCAAAACCAAATAGATGTTTTTAGAAGAGTATCTGAGGTATGAGCTGTAAAGGCACAGCCCTATTCTGGAAAAGGGGGCGAGGAGCAGCAGCTCATTTGCATATAAAGAGACATGCACAAAAACAGCCTGTTTCTGCTTCCACTCAAACTAGCCATTTTCAAAATGATATAATAAATCATCCGTGGAGTTTTTTGAGCAGAAACTTCACAGACACATTCTGGGGACACCTGAGACTTATATTGTAAAAAGGGGCATAATAGGTGGCCTTTAATATGCTTATCTTAAAGGGGTCATATGATGCTTTTTTAAAGATCATTATTTTGTGTATTTGGTGTAACAGAATATGTTGACATGCTTTAATGTTCAAAAAACATAAGACAGAGCCCGAAAGGGGAACAGAGTCACGTGACAGACAGTGATGAAGCTGGTATGTGTTTTCAGTACACAAGCCACGGTTAAGACAGCTGACTCCACGCACGCACGCGCACACACACACAAACACAATGCGCAAAACTCCGCATTTGAAGTCAATAGCAAATACTTAAGCTAATAACAAAACAGTAGCTGATTCAGAAGCGCCAGATTGTCATAGCAAAGTCAGAATTACCTCCTCTCCTAGGTTCACGAAACGGTCGTCCATAAAATGCATTGCTGTTCTGTTGTAAGTAATCTTAAAGATTCCTAAATGCATCTACTTTCGGTATGCCAAATAAAGTGCTTTTGCTTTCGCCTAGAAACACACAGCGTCTCCCTGACATGGCTGCTTCAACACTAACTGCGGTTACTGAAACCACGCCTTCTTTCTTTGCGTGCACATTTGGGCCGCATTATGCTAATATTGCCACATAGTGAGGTAGATATGTGGGGGCATGTTAGAACGAGCCGTTTTAGGGGGGCGTGGCAGAGTCTTAACCTTGATAAAGAATATCTCTTTGGTTTTGAGACTTTAGTCTTTGCAACTTCAGGGATCTTATCTATGCACAATCAGCTTGTAACACTCCAAAGAGAAAGGAAAACTTGAAATCGCATCATATGACCCCTTTAAGTGCTGAATTTGTTAACAAAAAGCAACTTTTCCACATCTTCACAAAGTTGGTTCAGTCAGACCACCTTTTCTTTCCCCCTTGAGCTTTAGACATTTTGTCAATAGATGGCTCTCAATGGGTGCTAAGAACTATGATTAAATCAAATATAAATACACAGAACTTGAAAATATTTGCAGCAAATCAAAACGCATAGCTTACTTGTCTCACTGGATTTCCGCTGTCCTATAGCATGCTCGACAGGATGTGGATATTTTCAGAACCGTTTCTTCATTTTTCATATTCACTACAACACACGGCAGTCCTGCGCTCTCTCTGGAGCTTATTATTGTAGTTTTCTAGGAGCAACAAGTACTATTTCCATTAAAATCTAATGAAAAATTAATAAAAAGCAGCCGGCTTGGGATCTTCCCTCAGCTGGAAAAAGAAAAGGTGGAAAGTCTTCTCTCTTTTCTGTCTCGCCCACAACAGAAGGTAAAATTTAGATTCTGTTATTTGACAGTGTAACCAGTAACGCATACATAAATACCAGCATGTTCTTTGATGCAAACAGCATCATATGGTAAAACGGAAATCCATATGCACTTGCAGGATGGCAGTGCTTAAAACAGAAGACTCTAATATCCTCACTGTGGCGAGGCATTTAATAAAACAAGTAAATTTATTGCATAACATTGTTGCATAACTGTCTGCTAATAGGCCTGTATCATTTATTCATGGTCAGATCAGTAATGAGTCCTCACTGCAGCTCTATTTGACCAGTCGATTCTGAATACATCTATACATTCGTTTTTTTAAAAAGCTTTTATTACACAACTCTCTCTTCATTCTGACTAATTGCAGCAGTCTGTGGAATTTTTGTATTTTTGTAAAATGCTAAACTGTCTAATTGGCCAATTTCTTTCATAGTTGTGCTAGTTTCATGTCTCTTGTATCACTTCACAATGTTTTTTTTCTTACATAAAACATTTTCTTACAATAAAACAATTTAAACTGAAATCAATATTTTAGAGATCTTTTTTTTTTCTTTTTCTGGTAAGTAGCCATGGGTTCCGAATCACCCTGTCTGGGCTGAGTAAACTAAATTAAACTACAACATAAACAAAATAATGTATAAAAATAATGAATAAACTATCAAAATAAAATATAGAAATCAGATAACATAAATATAAAATAAAAATATGAAAAGTATAAAAACTAAACTACAAAAAATAAACAAAGAAGTGATATAAAAATATGAAAACATATATAAAATAAAAAACTAAATATTAAATTAAAATGAATCAAAATCTAAATGAGATAATATATAAAAAATTACAAAATCTAAATGAAATCCAGAAAATAAAATTAAACTCATAAAATATAACAAATAAAATAAAAATGTATAAAATAAAATAAAAAATTGAAAAGTATAGAACATTTAAATTCATAAAAAATTATTAAAAATAAAATAAAATAAAAAATTTAATTAAATGAATTGGTGCAATGACTGATCAATCTGTGGATTGATGGCTGTGTGGATGGATGGGCATTAGATTGATTAGTAGACAGATTAATAAATGGATGAATTCAAAAACTTAATCATTCGCCCATTCATTTGTACATTCATAGAATTATCACCTTAGCATGGCATTCTTCCCATCACTCCTCGTACAGCGCAGTTGCCGAGTCTGATAGCCAATGGTGATTTCCCGGGATACTTTGTGGCCTCTTTCATCATAATGATTTTGATGGTAATTAATCTCAGCATAGCGTTTGATGGTATACGAAGCTTTGACAGTTTTTTTCCCTTCAAGCCCAAAACCAAAGTCCACTGTCGTCTTTCCAACAGGCGCTGTCCCTTTAAGTCTGCAAGGGCTCCAGGGCCCCACCCACAAACTATAACTGTATTCCTGCTGGTCGGAGGGACAAAGGGCAGGGTGAGCTTTCTCATGGTTACAGGGACGTGTCTGGGTGAGGCTGGGACAGTCTGCTCCTCCATACAGGGGCGCTGCCAGCACGTGTCTGGTGCGCTGCTGGAGGGCCGACCCACAGGTGCGACTGCAGGTGGACCAGTGGGTGAAGGCGGAGACGATGCAGTCGATTGGGCAGGGTAACAAACACGCCTGTTCTCCTTCCGGCACTGCAGAAAATACTTCACACACATGCTGGCTCACTGTGGTGCCATTGGTACGCTTCACACACACCACATCTCGGCTTTGTACTCCACGCTGAGCGGTCACACATCGACTGGCTGGGAGGAGAGGACTCGGGGTGCAGGGGCCCCAAGCAGACAAGCGCCACTCAAACAGATCCTTTTGCCACTCGCACATTTTCACACACACTCTCTGGTGCGGTGGGCGAGCAGATGGAAAGCAATTGGACTGATGCGTGCTCCAGCCTTCAGAATGGACACACCACACCGAGCGACTCTGGAGCCCAGCCGAACCGCAATCATTGGCCACACATACACCCCATACACCTAGACGAAAAGAAAAGGAGAGGCAGACAGGATATGAAGTGAATTATATTACTATTGTAATCACTGTCTATTAAAGCCCAAAACAGGCACAATGATGAGCCGCTATTCATCTCACTTTAGTACAGAAATACTGTACATGTGGATTCAGCCACACAAGAAGGATAATCATCTTTAATCATTTTAGAACGGCGCTGTCAAAAGAAATGAACTGGAGGGAAAAAATGACAAAAATGTGGATTTTGCTACCTGCTAAGAATATGAAAATAGGGAGTGATTCTAACAGGCTACTGCAAATCCATCTCTTTTGGAACAGTGTATAGAATAGAATAGAATAGAATAGAATAGAATAGAATAGAATAGAACATTTAAAAGTTTGGGGTCGGTAAGAATTATTTGAAAAGAAAAAATACATTAAATTGATAAAAAATGACAGTGAATATATTTATAATGTTATACAATATTTTTTGTTTCAAATAAACAAATAAATGTTATTTTAATATTTTCACAATATTAGTGTTTTTACTGTTACGTTACTTCCTAAGACTTAAATGAATAAAGAATAAGGGTGCAATAAATTGATCAAAAGTGACCATAAAAACATGTATAATTTTATAAAATATTTCTGTTTCAAATATATTGTCATTTTAATATGTTTACAATATTAGTGTTTTTACTGTATTTTTGATTAAAGCCTTGGTAAGCATAAAATAATTCTTTTAAAAACATTAAAACATCTTCCTGAACCCAAACTTTTGTATATAATATAATATAATATAATATAATAATAAATAGTGCAAGTTAGAAAAATCACAGCTTTAAAATAAACTTGTCATTTTTGAGTAACTATACCTAAACTATTCCTATAAAACTATGAAAAAATTTACAAAAATGTATTTTAAAAAAGAACATATAACAAAGCCATAATTTAGAGTAATAATATCAGTTTTAACACTACTGAACACTGTTTTCCTTAGCATAGTAATAATTCTATATGTGCCTATGTGTTTGACTAGTTTTACAGTTGTTTCCGACCTCACAGCCATGAAAAAATCCTTTGTGATCACTCATGTTACGTTTTACCTGACAACCTAGTGATAAATGTTTCAATTCAATGGCAGCAAAAAATTACCACTTGTTACAACTGCTTCCATTATCCCCTATTAGAAATGAGGGGACAGAAAGAAAAAGAAGCGATGGGAACAGAGAGAGGAAAGGCAGAGGGAGCAGATGCTTCAAACACACAGTGAAAGTCTGACATCATTGCTGCTGTTCCTCAGGGGATGTCAAAGACCATGTTCTCCTCATCACACCACTGGTGAGGTCACCAAAGAGACCTGCCATCCTGCACATGCCACCTAATGCACAACAGAGCAGACAATAACCATGTGACAGAGCCATATGGGGTGACATCAGTACTGTATGAGCACCGAGGTCAGCCAAACCCCTCCAGTCAAAGCCGAACACACATTTGATCATTAGACTGTCAATCCTCACAGCGTGCTAATTACTGCTCGTGCGCTCATCCTCGTTACTCAAATATCAATTTTCTCGAAGGCAGGGGGTTCAGGTAAAACTTTAACCGCAGAGGCCTGTCCTACACAGATTTCCCGGCTAATCAGGATTCTGATGGATGGCATGCTGATTAAAGACTTTAGACGTGGGAATAATCACTTTGAACTGAGGTGATGAGAGAAAAAGATTTTTTTAGTTGTTATTGTGTTGTTCTCTGTCTGAACTGACATTTTTGGGGGAGAAAATGGAAAAACAAGGAAAATATGAAGCTTTTAACTCTGAAGAGTGGTACATTTACTCTACCTTTCTACCGGAAGATAGTGTGAACCATGTTACCAGAAATGCAGATCCATATCCATTATATTATATAATTTTTTCATATCCTTACAAAGAAGATTATATATTTATTTGATTTACACTCTAGCATTTAGAACTTTGGCACGATTTTTAAAGGGGTCATATGATGCTGCTAAAAGAACAGTATTTTGTGTATTTGGCGTAATGAAATGTGTTTATGCGGTTTAAGGTTCAAAAAACACATAATTTTCCACATACTGTACTGCGATTATGACGAAGGAGCGTCCGGAAGGACATGTGACAAGTCTGGGCTGGACTCCGCTTCTTCCACGGTGAAAGCCGATCCGGCGATCAACAGCGCAAAGTTGTAGTATTTCCTCAGCAACCAGCACGGATCAGCTT